GCTTTTTCAATGTCAATGTCTCGGAGCGTCCATAGAAAAGTACCTCCTGATTTTACCTATTTCGAGGGTATTGAATATATTTTCGAATCGATTTGACTTAAAATGTGTGTTTAGGCTACTAGACCATCTTACATGGAGCTATTGTAAACATTTGATGTATACTTTTTAATATATGTGCTATATTATTTAGGATTTTCAACTCTCAAATTAAAACCTCGGGCTGAAAAATAGGATCAGGTTTTTTGAAACAATATAAATCGCCCGGTACATAAACGTGTATTGATACGCGATGCGTATTTATATCTATTTAGTCGAGTCATCATTAATACTAAAAATTGTGCCACTTATGTAAGCCAGATCTGAGAATTGTTATGATTTAAAAACTATGCATTAAAAACTATACTGCCGGCAACGAGGACTGGGACAGCTAGTCTATTCTAAAATTGAATGGAGAACATTGCAGGACTGCTTGTCATTTCATTCAAGTGGTCAGAAGCTAGATTTCCCCAACGCCTCGACCGCACTCAAAAGTATGTACAAAGTATTTTGTACACGAAGATCGCCTAAAACTTATTGATCTAGCGACACTGGAAAAGAGACGTTTAATGTTTAGAGCTCAGTTTCTAACCGGTGAATTGAATTTTAATATTCCTTCTCATAACACTCGAAATTACATACCACTTATACTTTCTTAGGCTAAATCGAATGGTAAAAGAATACAGGTAGATGCATCAACGCTTGGTAACATTGAAATGTCAAAACATTTCAAACGTTTTTTTTTGCAAATATAAGAACATTTTAATATGTTTTCTTATACCACGTCATTTGGAGGTTATTGTAATTCGCGTTTTGAGCAATTTTTACAAATTTATATAATGTTCCATTCAACATTTTCAATTCCAAAATTAGTTTGACAGTTCATTGTCCAAGCATCTGTGGCGATGCGACTACCTATATTTTTCTACCATGTATGAATCGCATTTGTGCAAAAATTATATTTTTCCAGATTTGGTTTGTTTTTCGAAATACAGTGTAGATCTAGATATAGTATGTTACTAGCCCTTGATGTAAAAGAAGACTATGTCGAAAAATGTTTAGTTTGGACATATTACGCATAAAATGTTACGAATTTTAAGGACAGCCTTCTTATAACATCTGTTGTTAACTCAATGTCGTCCAGACTGATTCCTCTCAATGTATAGTTGTTAGCCGTAGGTCCAAATCTCTCAACATTTCAAGCATTCGCTAGAAAATAGTGTAAAATACAACACCCCTTTAAAACTGGAGCCAAACTGCATGTATACATTAAGTTTTCTACATATAATATATAATTTTATTTTTTTTTACTTTTTGGCCTAATATGTCAACTTTATTTGTTTATGTGTATATTCATTCCAACCATAAAAAAGTCTTCAGAAAATATTCAAATTCCGGTGTTTTCAAAATGCTTATTGCAACGTATGCATCGACAAAATCTATTGTTTTTGTAGCGAAATAAACCTTTAAAGATATAAAGAACATGATTTTGAAATTTTGACCTTTCATTCAGTTTTTGCGGTTTTTAATTATTTATTCAAAATCAGTGCAACAAGTAGTTTGGTTTTGGGGGAGGTACCAGAAGGAGTGGAACATATCCCATCCAGTGTGGCCATTTTTTAGCATTTTTGCAGCTAAATTTAGCATTTTCTTAGCTTTTTGAAATTATTAGTTTAGTGTTCTTCTATTTTAGTACTTTCTTATAAATCCATTTTTTTTTTAAATTTAAAAAATTAAATTACATGAACATTTTGAACGAAATTACTATTTTAGAAAGCAATGGCAAAAGCTAAGTACATATGAATGGACAAACATAAACTCAACGATTTAGTTTTGAATATGTATATAAGAATTTAAAAATGCTTTAAATGAGAACCCGTTCAAGGAATTGTCTTCTTTTGTTATGAAGTGTATAGTTTTACATTTTAGTAACGCAGAAGTTGGAAGGGGTTTCAGTGGCATGAACCTTATAAAAGAAGAAATTAGAAATAGAATGTTATTATACACTATGAATTCTAATCATCATTCGGTTAATTCTAATTTTCAAGTAGCAGGACTTAAAACATTTTAATAAAAGCATATTAAATTTAAAAACAGATGTTTTTAAACATTTTTTTCAAAAACCTCTCATCTCTATAAAATTTCATGGTTTGGAAGGAAATAATGCATATTCTTATAGAATTTGCCCTATATTAAAGCTAAGGAAAAGAGAGTCATGTCAATGGCTATTCAGAACAATAAATTAAGTTTTCTCTATATGAATTGTTTTAAAAATATCAGAAGTGGAAGCCTGGAATTCACTTTCAAAATTTAGGTGGAATAGACATTTTGGTATTTTTCCCACAAAAATTGCGACCCACTTTTCCGCTAACTGTTATGCCATCCAAAATGCTTGGCAGGGCCAATACCGAACCCCCACATAAAATTTCCTGAGGATCGGGCGATAATTATGACATATCATAAAACTTTCAGTTTTTGGTCCATTTGAACCCCAAATATTTTGCGATCATCTCCAAAAACATCAGGCTTCTATTCTGACATTACTCCACCTCCATCCAACATTTCGTGAGGATCGGCACATAAATGTGCCCTGTATATAATATCCTAACTATATAGTGTTGTAAGGAGGAAAAATATTACAAAATGTTAAATTCAATATTGTAAGTAAAAACCAGTAAAGAAAGTCTTAAAGTCGGGCGGGGCCGACTTTATGATACCCTACACCACTTTGCTAATTAAGTAGAGCTCCACATAACAATTAAAAGTTTTTATGGGAGAATTCAATCATACACGCTATGATTATAATTATAATTTAAAGTTCAAAGGACTAAATATGCCGAAGCATTTGTATCTTTTAAATTCGGAATTGTATTGCCCATTTGGTGCACAATATTTCCCTGAATATCGTTGTTACGGAGTGCATATTACGGCTGTGGGTAACAAATATAACAAATCGGATGAATAATTTATATGGAAGCTATAGCTATATCTGAACCGATCTTCACCAAATTTGGCATACAGATAAGATATATATGGGAGCTATATCTAAATTTTGACCGATTATCTCCAATTTCAATAGGGTTCGTCCTTATGCCAAACAAAAGATCTTTGCAAAATTTCATCTGGATCGGGCAATAAATGCGACCTGTACTTTGTTTACAAAAATACATGGACAGACGGACGGACAGACAGACGGACAGACGGACGGGCGGACATGCATAAATCGACTCAGAATGTGATTCTATGCAGATCATCAAAAGGAACTATGGGTCTATCTCGTTTCCTTCTGCCTGTTACAAACAAATGCACAAAGACATAATACCCTGACCACCTTGTGGTGTAGGGTATAATGAAAATATCGCATGCGACAAAAATGTGACAAAATGGAAAAAAAGAAAGTATCACAAAATCAATATTATCATCTTTATTGGAATATTTTCATGCGTTTTTGTCTAGATTTTTTTCTTTCCTGTCAAGAGGGCATTCTGAATTGACAAGATTTGGCAAAATCAGTCCAGCTTTTTTTGAGATGTATGCATTCTAGCCAATATATGTCGCTATATATATCCGTATATATATTTTCACTATCGGCATCTGCCTAACGGTCAGAATTGGCCTTTTCGTCTATTTGTAATTTCACCGGGATTAAGAATATTTGCGGTTGATTGAGAAATTTGTTTTTTTTTTAACACAATACTTATGGTCTATTTCACCCGATATTATTCGATGACCATCCAAATTGGAAAGCTTCTACCCAGTCCTAAGATCTAGCCCCATGCTAAATTCCGCGTCGATTGGTCTATAATTGTGACCTGTAGCGTGATTGCAAATTAACATAGGCTCAGCTTAGTGAGAGTGGAAGATCAATAAATACTTTCCCATGTGGGAAGCCAAAATTTCGAAGAGTTACATTATTTTTGGCTCAATCAAACTTATAATACCCCCCATAGTGTTGCAGGGTTTACAAAAAGGTATTTATATTTTGCATTATTTTTGGCATTTTAATTTTTTTTGTTTGGCATTTTTTAGCATTATTTTTATGCTGTTTTAGCTGCAACACTATTTTAGATCTGGTCACACTAGTTCCACCTTAACACCAGACCTTGGGTTAACATAAATATTGGGATGTGTGAAATTTGAAGACAATCGCACTCTTACATCTCATTTTATAGGAGTTGTAATTATTCAAAATGTTAACCCTTTGTGGGGGAGGTACTTTATGGAGTCGACCGATATTGTCCATTTTCTCGACTGACATAGCACTGACACAAATATTAGGATTTGCAAAGTTGGAGTAAATTCGGATCATCCTTTCTCTTTCTGTGCAAAAAATATATTTTTTGAAAATTTCGACCTTTTGTGGGGGAGGTACCAGAAAGAGTGGACCGATAATTCCATCTCCGAACTCGTTTGACAAAAATATTACGATATACCAAGTTTGAACCAAATAAGATAACCCCTTCGGCAGACAGACAGACAGACGGACGAACGGACAGACATACCGACAGACGAATACTGTTAGGTCGACCGTTAAATCGATAAATAACATATTATGCTAGTCATGGCGTTGGATATGAAATTGAAAGGTGATGAAACTAAGCACAAACGCTCAACTCAAGTGTTTTAAAAATAGAATTATTATTTTTCGAAATTGGGGCCAATTTCGTAAGTTATTATTTCCTGCGACATGTTCATATTAAAATAAGGAGCTTGTAGGCAGTATTGTAAGTAATGGCATAATTTACTTAATAAGTTCAATGTTTGGAAATGAGTGTTTTCAACAATATGAAGAAATGACAATATTTTTCTAGTCCGCGGCCCTTAAAATTTAACAACTTTTAATTAATGATAACCACTAGTTTTGGACTTCACCAGATGCTCAATATGCCTTATATGAGATATAGGTTTTTCTTTGCAGAAATTAAAATGATGCACTGTAATTTAAATTAAAGAAGTTAACTCACCAGAAGAACCAGTGGCTGATGAAAAACAGGTTAAGCACATGTTCCGATGGTGGTGGCAATTGACGAGGTCCACTTTGATACGGCGGGCAACAACCTTGTGTACAGCATTCTCTAGGTAAGGAACAAATGTGTCCGCCTTCACAGAAACGAGCGGCAACCTTAAATGAGAAATATTACATCTTTAAAATGGAATCTAAATACGCATACATAACTATAACTACGAGGATTTTTGTATAGAAGGGGTTGGATGATTTTCGTCACCGGGGAAGTGAATGTAATGCATGTTAATTATTGCTCTGTTACAGAAAATTTTAGATCTGCAGAAATCTTCGAGTTTTGAAATTTTCTTCGATCTCATAGAGGAAAAAAACGATTATAGTGGCAAAAACTTTTACCTTCTGCATTCAAGCAGTTCTGGAACAGAGCTTATATAAATGTTTACGTATAAAGAATAAAAGAACAAAGAAGTTGAGTTCACTCAGTTCAAAGTCTTTTGTTATTTTATGAAAATGCCAACGATGACTCATGTCATTACTTAAAGGTAGTATGGATATCAATTTGAAGCTCTTACAGACCTGTAGTGCGATTCTCTAACTCCTTTTTTTGAGTGACCTACAAAAATCGGTAACTTTGAAACTTAAAATTTTGACATAAAAAAGAAGTTGGTATCATTGGTATCTATAGGTGTTCTTACAGACTACTTTGATTTCGCCGCTAACTTACCGGTAACTCAAAAAATGGCTTAGAGAATTCCACTACTGATTACATGTGAAAGTTCTTAATGCCCGGCCGAAAGCCACCTCCCAACGATAACTAAAATTTTTAAAAAGTTATTTTGTTGACCTCCTTTGTAAAAAAACATAACGGGTGAGATGATGAAACTGCAACCAACTTCAGACTGCTGTCATATCCAAGCCACTCGTTCGAAAGCTGTTAAAATTATTCCAGTGACAGCTCATTATATTGTTTACAGGAGTACAACAGAATTTTCCAGAAAAAAAGTTATTCGTGATGGAATTAAAGCGTGATAGTGTGATTTCTTTATATTTGGCTGGAAAACCACAAGTGACTATCGTTAAAGCACTCAGCATTTAAATGTGAATAAATCTTTTGTGTCTCGTACCATCGCTCGTTACCACCATACTGGTAGCGTAGCCCGGCGCCAGGAAGTGGACGGAAGAAAAGAGCAAAATCAGCAGAAATGGTTTGAAAGTAAAGAGCTGAACATAACGTAATATTCCATTCGGCAAATATTGAAAGCTCAGCGTAAAGCCATTGAAATTCCAAAAAGTGCAAGAACTTAACTTAGATTAAAAAGAGCTAAAGAGTTGCTATTTTTGTCCCTTTTATTTCATTTATTCTTCCCAGCTGCCACTGCCCCCTGTTGTCTTGAGACCAAATCGCTTTTACACTTATTTGAGCTTCTGCTTCGCCTCATCGAAAATTATACTTCAGGTTGATGAACTTCGGTTGAATTCTTACATTTTAATGATACGTCCCGTCTGAAATGCTATTGAAATAATACATATCACCGATTTCCCTAATGAATTCATCATTACCTTAAGAGTTCGGTCTGGAAATTTGTCCTTAATTCACGTGATTTCTATTTTTTCTGAAAGAAAACAATTTCTTTTTGACAATTTCTACAAAAAATCAAAGCAAAGACTTGAAATAAAATTCTCCAGCAGTGTTAAAAAGTTGTTGTAACAAACTATTTTTATAGCCTCAGCCATATGACTACAAGGGATAGATATAATTTGCTACGGCCAAAATGTATCTCATCGAAATAACGGTTTTAGACCTTCCGTTGGCTGGTGCGCACGACAACTCTCGAAGGGAGTTTCCGATATAGTCCGAACTGGGTACATAGTAATATGTTTTTATGAACCTAACAAAATTAAAAATGATTTTCCTCATAGAACAAAAAAGGATCATTCGATTTTGTGCTAACATTGAAAAATCCTAATACTTGGTTTGTTCCAGAACTGCAGGAATTTAAAACTTTATACTACGATAACCGATTTTCGCTTTATGATATCCAAAACAATTACAAAACTAGTAGCAAGCAATTATTATCAATGCAAGGTCATGTAAAAAAATTGACCATATCAGCCCACTTAATCATCTCCCACAAAGGGTCATCATTTTGAAGAACGAACCACTCCTTCTGATAAACTTGGGTTATTTAAATATTTCTGATGTGAATATGGAATTTATCGGCCTACTCTTTCTGGTGCCTCCCCCCAAATGTTAACATTTTGATTAACAATTATTCGCTACAATTGGAAATAGATTTTTGATATTCTTTAAAATTTGCACATCGCAATACTTTTAGGGTTATATATAGGTATAAATAAGCCAAAATTGACCTAAGTCAATCTTTACTCCTTCCATGACCAATATGGTATCCCTTTTCTGACTAATTCGACCTTTTCCTTTTTTTTATAGCTGAAATATCTACGTATGACATGTGACAGATTTTACAGATTTTTTTTTCTGGCGTTCCTTGAAACATAAAATCAGTTTTATGTTCCATATCTTAGAAACAGTTTATTTATCTTTTCTTGGGCTTTAGTATATAAAGATAGAGATTTAGTTTAGATAGATACATGCAAAGTTTCTCCATCAGAGATACAGGAAGAGTTTGTCCTTCGACTTATTAATTTTATAGAAACTGCAATCTTTTGAAGTTGAGTGCCATTTCTATTGCTATTAGGGAATTCGGGGTAGCAACATACTTCCCCGTTATAAAATTGTTGTGTTGTGTACTGTTAGCCAATACCAATGAAAACGCGTTGTGGGACAAATCATATCACCTATAATTTGGCTAAATATATTTTTGGACCAAATTCCGTCACTCCTTCCACATTTAATTGAAATTGGAGATACATAGTGTATTTGGTGTATCAAATATACGAAATTGGTTCAATACAATTTATCTGAACCGATTTCAATATAATTTAGAAAATTAATTTTTACACAAAATTGCACTACACATATATAAATGCATGGAATCAGACGAAATATATATGTGGAAAGTATATCCAAATTTCTACTGATTTCAATATATATATATATATATATATATATATATATATATATATATATATATATATATATATATATATATATATATATAATTGCGATATATATATATATATATATATATATATATATATATATATATATATATATCGCAATTATCAAATCCAAAAACTAAAACTCTCACTGCCTGCTGTGCTCTGACGATTCACAGCCAATTCAATTTGGGTGGCGATTTCACGACATTCCAGACATTCCCAAACGTTACACCCCAATAAATACATTTGTTTGTAAACAACATATTGTTACATATACATACATACCCACATATAGCGTACATTTCTCTTATATACTTACAAATTTAGACATTTGTATTGAAATGCCAAATATGAGAGCTACAAACAATAGCATTTTCAATGCAGCAATGCTGTGACAATAAAAATAATGTCCTTTATGTTTTTGATCGTTTCACGAATTTGCACTCACTCGGCTCTGAGGCATGCAACGTTGTTTGCTTGGATGGATGATGATTAGCAGCGGAACGACTTCATTCAGATATCTGACACTGACATAGAGCAATGCTGCCTTCGCCGTAGCAATAGCAATAGCAGTACGACGATGGTCCGTTCGCTGTCCTTGGAATTGAAACACAATGCAATTGCGAGCATTTATCCTTATGCACACAAACACATCAAACGCACACACACATCTAGTGTTTTCACATTTCTCACTTTTATTTGTTTATTTTTATTGTGTTTTCTTTGCTTTCGAATGGTGCTTTATGTGCACAACGAGCGAGCACATACAACGCAGCTTTTAGTCAATTTATATTTTGTGTGTATGTATGCCTGTAGTACAGGTCTTGTCCACGTGCAAACGCGCGTGTATGTGTATATGTGGAGGCGAGAGTGTGGGACAATTTGTTTGTGTTTTTAATTATTTTATGCACTACGTATGTACGTATGTATACGGCTGTGTTACCCGAGAGTTCTTATTTTCTTGTTTTAATTTTAATAAATGCCCCTCAGTCGCTTGGTTGGCTCTTTAATTGTAATTTACTGCAACCGTTTGTTTAACTCAAGAAAGGACCTTCTCTTACACTTTGTAACAATTGTAGGAATTTAAATGCGCAAAAAACTGCTGTCAGTCCAAGAGACGCCTGGTGTGTGTGTGTGTTTTGTATAGGAAAGGTATGAGCAAATTCTCTTAAGAGGGCAATGATGTGCTGTTTTCCTCTCGCCTGCGTGTATTTGTGGCTGAGTAACGACGCCCAAAAGTATGCAAACTATTTCGAATTGTCTTTGTTGCAAATGTTTACGAATTAAATTAGATTTTATGCGTCTTTTTAACAGGATTTATTGTTGAACTTCTAATCAGATACCGAGACGTTCTTTAAGTTTTTTCTGCACATTCAACAAAGAGATGTCATCATCTTTGAAAACAAACATTTTTTGATATATAGATATATTAATGTCCATCGAAGGCACAACCACCACCTTGTCGCAAAATACGCAATTGTATTGTCGATATAGTGAATAACGAATTTCAATTTTGCTATTTTCACATTTTTTTTATTTCAGTCGTTATTGTTCGCAAATCTAATAACACGAATTTTGAGTTAGGATATTTTTATTGAATAATCGTAAAAAAGTTTTTCTTCGTTGTCTCACACACAATGACTAAAGCAATATTTGATTTCTCTCCTTTCTTTCTTTGTTCTTTTCATTTTCAGAGAAAGGAGATGAAATTACAGCGATGGCATTGCCATGTCAAAGGCTAGAGACAGCACTGCAAGAAGAGAAAAACAATGCTACGCAGTGTTGACAACGCTAAGGAATATAATCGTGTTGTGGACATGAACGTTAATCAACTCACAAACGTGCACTAAAAAAAGTTAAGTCCATATTACAAGTTTAGTGAGAATCGTGGAAGAATTAAAAAATTGGTCTCATATAACAAATTAGTAATGGCAACATTTTTTTAATAAGAAATCGTCTATCATTTTTAATTAATATTTAAAATTAGTTCTGTAACTATTGACTCTAAACGAGTGGCATATTTTTTGTATAATTTAAAAATAAATCGGTTGAAGGAAACATTCTTAGTTTTTAACATATGCATGTGTCTATTGATGCAAGTCTTTAACACCTTCGATAGTAACCAACACAAATCTGCAAAAAATGTCGGAAAAAGCATCAAATTTTAGAATAAGTTTAAATTTGTTCGAATTGGTCACCTTTGGCACGAATTATGGCCTTTAAACGGCCAATGAAACCGTCACACGTTTCCCGAAAGTTGCTCTGCGGTATTTTGGCCCATTCCCGGCGAAGCATTTCCTTGAGGTGATCGATACTTTGGTACTTTTTAGTGCCAACCTTGCTTTCCAAAATTCACACAATAGTACAACGGATTGGTATCCGGAGATTTTGGTGGCCATTGTGCACTGGAAATGAAGCGAAGAACCTCATTTTGTGACCATTCTTGGGTGGCGCGTGCTGAGTGCCATGGTACTGAGTCTTGTTGGAATGTCCAAGTTCTGCGGCCAAAATTTTTGCGTGCCCAAGGCTTTAATACACCCTCCAGACTGTTACGGTGGCCCACACCATCACCATGACCGGCGCTTGAGTTCTGGTGACCAACCGAAGGTGCACATTTTCAGCTGACCTCTTTGGAAAGTAAACACGATCATTTTGTTTGCTTTCAAACTGCTGGACAACTGATGTTTTCTCATTAGAGAAAACCAAATTAGCCAGTTCACCACTTTCGGCCAAGCGAAGCAACTCTATAGATCTTTTGAGTCTGTTTTCTTTCTTTGCCGAATGGAATATTGCGATATGTTCAGCTTTTCGGCCACTGCGACGCGAGTTTTGATCAAGTCGCTTCTTTACTTTTCGAACCATTTCTGCTGATGTTGCTGTTTTCTTCCGTTCACTTCCTTGACGTCGGGCTACGCTACCAGTATCACGGTAACGAGCGATGGTAGGAGACACAAAAGATTTATTCACGATGGTGGTTTTCCAGCAAAATATAAAGAAATCACACTATCACGCTTTAAATCCATCACGAATAATTTTTAAAAAACCTTTTGATTTTAGTACAGTGTTAGTACTTCAATTCGAAACCTGCATTCTTATAGCATGGGTATCCCCATGGGTGCCGAATTAACCGTGATAACTGACCAATAAAAAAAACATTCGTAGTCTTTTGTCATGTGGTTTCAATCACAATAGTGTATTTTGACATTCAATTTGGTAGTAATCGGGACCCATGGAAAAAGAATACATATAGATGCAACGATTTGATTTTTGTTTAAAAATAAAAAAATATATAAGTTTATTTTTATACGACACCAATCGGAGGTTGTTACTCACAATTTTTACAAAATTGAATAATTTTTCATTCAAAATTTTCAATTTTGGTATTGGTCGAGTACTCGGTGAATAGTCGAGTACTCGGTTTTCACCCAAGTCCATAGTCGAGTACGAGTTTCAGAACTTTGAGTACTAAAAGTCGATTATTTGATTAATCGGAAGTCGCCTTACCTGTCCCTATGACGTTGCACTCGGTTTCGGTTCTTTGAGACACAATGAAGGCACATTCTACCGTTTTTCTTCTGAGCCTCCTGTGCCTAACTGGTGTCCTTGGATGGGATACCGAGGAGCTGGAAATATTTGATTTAGTTGAGGAAATAAAAACAAACTTCTACGAGTTTATGGGTATCGGTCAAGTAGGTAAATTTAATGTCCATAGATATGAACACTTGCTTATTTCTTTAAATTTTAGAATGCGTCCAGCCAAGAAATCAAGAGGGCTTTCCGTGGTCTTTCAATACAGCTACATCCTGACAAAAACCCTTCTGAAGATGCGAATATTCAATTCCGAAATTTGGTTTCGATATACGAAGTCTTAAAGGAGCCAACAAAGCGTGAAAAATATGACAAGGTGTTAAAGGATGGATTACCCAACTGGAAGTCCGCCCTATATTATTACCGTCGTATGCGCAAAATTGGTCTTTACGAGGGAGCCGGAATTCTATTCCTCATCATTACAATTGGCCAATATCTTTTTGCATGGGCTGCTTACTTGGAAAAGAGATATACGGCAGAACAGGTACTAGGTTCAAAACTTAAAAAGCTGCAAAAAAAGAACAAAAGCATTGATATGGATACAATATTGAACGAGATTCCAGCGCCTTCTTTAAAGGTGAGTCTTTCATTAGTAGTAAAAAGCGTTTGTCATTCATCCTTTTACATTTCAGAACACATTACCGGTACAAATACCTTTGTTTGTATGGAATTTGCCCAAGACAATAAAGGGAGCCTTTAATAAAGCTAATGAATTAAAGGAGATGGCGCTAGAGAAAAGAAGACAGTGAGATGAATGGATTATACTTCAATCATTTACATTTTAATAGCATTCTTCACTTAAAGGGAAATAGAGGAGGCGAAGCGATTGGAGGATCAGGAAAGGGAAGCTGAAGAGTTAGTCCGTCTGCGAAAGGAGCAAAAAGAAAATTTACGAAAACGCAAACAAAATATGAAGGCTCCTGAGAAAACTGACGAAGAATTAAAGGGTTACTCGCAAATACAGGCAAGAGAGTTGACAGAAAATGATGCAGTGAAACCAGTCACACAAAAGGTACGTGAGTTGCCCTTATGTTAGGTAGTCGACAAACCGATAAAATATTGTGTAAAACACGATAAGGTTTCTTGTTCTGCAATATGTATTCACGCCGGCATTAATTGTTAATGTTTTGTAGTCCAGGAATACTACCGGAATACTACCGGTTGTAAGGAATTAATTTTATATAACAGCCAAGCGGATTTGTTGACATTAAGGGTCAAAAATGTTTAATATCTACCCTATTCCAGAACCACCAAAAATCTGATAGTTTAAACAATCTAACCGAATTGGATATGTTAGACAAAAAAGAGAGGGGTTTTTCGCTGTTTTTTTATTGTTAGAATAATTGTTACTATGGACAACATAACAACGACATACATATCATATAATTTAGTTTAGTAATTTCGTCCTTGTAATTTGTGCTCTATTCATTATTTTTAGACAACACTGAGTGGCGGCTTTTGGACTGATGAAGATTTGACGGAACTCATACGTTTGGTGAAAAAATACCCAGCCGGTATGAGCAATCGATGGGTTGTTATTAGTGAAGCAATGAATAGAACTGTGCAGGAAGTTACATATATGGCAGCGAAAATGAAAGAGAATGGGTATCGATTGCCCGGCCAGACTGAAAGTGTCGCTGAAACCATTATCCAGGAAACACAACAAATAGTCAAAAAAGAAAAAACCAAACAAGACAAAAGCATTGTGATACCAGAAACAAATTGGACACAGGATCAGCAAAAAGCTTTGGAGGCAGCTATTGTAAAATATAGAAAAACTGTTGGTAGTGACAGATGGCAAAAAATTGCCAATAGTGTTCCCGGCAAAACAAAGGAGGAATGTTTGGTTCGCTACAAATACCTGTGTGAGTTGGTTAAGTCACAGAAAAAATCCGAGGAGTCTGAAACAGGAATAGAAAATGATGTAGCTGACGGAGAAAAAGAACAGACTAAACCGAAAGCTGAGGAAAGGCTCGAAGAAATATCATCACCCGTCACTGCCGAGGATTTAGCTGAAGAGTTTTCGGGGAAAGGCAAAAAGAGAAATAAACGCAAAGAACGAAGAAGGCGAGATTTATCAAGCGACGAAGACTCGGACGACGCATACATGTATGAACAAAATTAAGTTACTTCTTTGTTTTACTTAAGTACTAGTTTAAGCAACTGTCGCCACCATAACACTTCAGTTATTTCCACTAGCTTAATTTCTCACTGCTGAGACGGATGAATAGACCATTTCAATCTATAATACAACTGCGACAACATTTATAATAAAAAAAAACAGGTGTACGGATTTGGTGCTGCATTGGATTACATGCTCAACGTAATGTTTTTATTTTTATCAAAAGGAAAATAAATATTGGACAAATTATTACGAAACAGCTGATTCTTTACTAATATCCAGCATCGAGTTTTGTGACATTTCAATTTCATCATCATCATCTTCAATCTCCATTTCGAATATTATCATTTTCTTTCGATTATCCGATAGAAGTGAAGCCACCTATGGAAAAAATTAAGACTTTTTTGATTAAACATTTTTACTAGGATGCTTAACGAACCTTTCGACAGCCGGAAACTGAGAGATGCGTGCAAAGGCTATCCATTCCCTTGAAACAACTACTGTCAATTGTATCAAAAATACTATGTACTGCCGAAAAGTCACTAATGTTCAAATGTTCTTGAGGCAACGTATGTAATGAACTGTTTGATTTGACTTGGTCCAATGGGAATTGTACAAAATAACTTTGTGACTTTTCTTCACTTCGGCTAACAAGCAACAGGGAGATAACATCATCGTTGTAAAACTGTAAATCAGCAAATGATAAACTGTCCAAACCATTCGACAATCCTTTTGTAAAAGGTCCGGGTAGACTTTGTAAACGGAACATTTGCATTTGTGTAAAATTGTTATCGAATCCCAAAATTAAACACTCTTGCCTGCCAACGGTAATTGCTACGAGGTCAAGTTTTTTGGTTTCACATGCAATATATGACATTTTTACAAATTCGTAGTTATCTTCCGGAGTGCCACTCAATTGTCGACATACAAAAGTTCCGTCCAGTTTAAATCCTAAACTTATGCTCTCGTTTGGCTTTTCGAAGACTTTATCAATAGAAGCGAACAGTTTGTCTCTCTGTTGGATTAATGATAAATTCTTTTCGTGCGGATAGACTAAAATGGAATCACTCAGACATTCATGTTCATCGAGTAGTTTTTGCCACATGTGATGGATATCTGTCTTTAAAACCTGTTGCAAAGGTTTATCCTCTAAATATTGACCCACTTTTTCCAGGTTAAATTTGCGCTTTGTTACGGTACCATCACCTGAAAAAAAACTTAATTGCAATTGTTTCAACGCTGACATTTCAAATCGACTTACTGTTTTCGACAACACTATCTTCAAAACTATTTAAGTACTCGGCTAAATATATTGTATCCTCCATTGATAACTGGGCCATATCTTCTGCAACGTCCTGTTGATGCAGACGCACGATAACCACACAGAGCCAGGAGAAGAAAAGTTTCATGTCACTAACAGATTGATCAATTACTTGTTGTGTTTCCAAAATTTTCATTATGAATGCACCACACTGACGAACGGCAGATTCAGTAGATGTTTGAACCAACAGAGGCTGTTCCAAAGAAAATTAAGACTTAAGAATTATTCTTCTATAGTGTATTTCAAATATGTTTAAAATATACTTCAAAAAAATGAGATATCCTCGCTAAACCTTTAATTGTATTCAAAAAATAAAACATATTTATCGAGGCCATTTGTAATGGTTTAGAGACCAGACTTTGTATAGTAGAGTAACTAAGTTCCACAGAATTTTGAAGTTTTTTTACCCCCTTCTCCGTCAGGTCTCTAAAAATGAATGAAGAATAATAACTGTTATAGCTTCTGGCAACTCATGAAATGCTTACTGTGTTAGGAATTCTTCTATTTCATTGGTAGCATAACCAAACACTAGTAGTTCCATAAAATCGGCAGACAGAAATCCCTCCATTTGTTTGTTGGCATAATTTGTAAGTTTATTATCCATTTCCAAGAGAACAGTCTCCCATGCTTCAAGCATGCATTGCAGGCTATTATTTAGGTAGCTATGGACAAGCCAATTTCAACCTTAGTCAAAAATTTAACCTATTTTTATTCCGTATGCTTACTTCTTCGTTTCCAATATGTTAGCACAGTACTGGGCTAGTTTCATCATTGGTGACATATATTCCTTAAAAACAGGATTCTGGAAGTGTAACACATTTAACTCCTGTCCATGACGCACCAAAGCGTAAATCGCATCGAAATTTCCACTGAGTCGAACATCATAGACTTCTAGTTCTTCAGGAAAAAGGACATGCTTCGATAAATCAATACAACCCGCCTTTAATGCGCCTAAAAGCAACAGATGAACTTGACCATTTTTCAAAAGTACAACCAAGAAACTGGGTGTTCCTTTAGAAAAAGATTTGTGTTCTTGAACTTTTGATGACACTCCCAGGCTGTTTAGATGTGGTAAGGCCGGTAGGAAGAAATCGTGCGTTACCTGTAAACATTAAAGTGCATTCATTACTTCCTAAAAAAGGGAAGCCATCACAGTTCATACTTCTGTACTGTTTCGATAAGGTTGACGGTAGTCTGATGCATTAATAGGTTTGCTAAAGTAAATATTTTTTATTTCATCGTCGTAGCGCAGGTTCGAAACACATTCTTCCCGTTCAACATCTAATAATGAAACTTGGCCATTGCTGTACCCTTTTCAAAATAAAATAAAACTGAATATTGCAATTTAAACTGAATGAGCCAAGTTGCGAACCTACCTACTGCGACTATTGTTTCATCATGTTGCCAACTTAGTCCCTTAACTTTTATGTCATCACCAGGTGAAGGAAACGTTACTATCTTTTGCCAGTTCAGTCTCTGGATAATTACTTCTCCTACAAAGGGTGGACAATGAAATATGAAATTGAAATGTTTAATGTTTGAATGGAATATACTACCTTTTTCAGTCCCGTAAGCAATTAAATCCATCTTATTGCTCCATTCCATTATGTCCACGGCACAACTCATGTGCCGCGCTCCAATTTGCTTCATTGACATAGACTGTGCCATTTCATCAAGGATTAACACAACAGAACTTTAAACAAATATAGAACTTTTTTTATAAATTAGGAGTGACCCTAAGAGCTTCAAGGATTTATAAAAAAGAAATTTTTTCTAGCTTAGCAATACGTTTCTTGGAGCACGTCGTTTGAAGGAGCACGTCCCAACGAAGCGAATATAAAGAATATAAAGGCCAAAAAGCAATACTTGATAAAAAATAAACAGAAAGCAAAGACTCGGGGTACTCTGTTGTTTACGAATGAGTGTAATGCATAACGCTCTGTTGTTTACGAATGAGACATGAGAAAATTGAACATCTTCACTAAAAGAGCCCGGAACTAGTTCGTTGCGAGCGTTGGAAACAAAAATGAAAAACGTCCCAACGAAGCGAATATAAAGACCAAAAAGCAATACTTGATAAAAAAATAAACTGAAAGCAAAGACTCGGGGTACTCTGTTGTTTACGAATGAGACATGAGAAAATTGAACATCTTCACTAAAAGAGCCCGGAACTAGTTCGTTGCGAGCGTTGGAAACAAAAATGAAAAACGTCCCAACGAAGCGAATATAAAGACCAAAAAGCAATACTTGATAAAAAAATAAACTGAAAGCAAAGACTCGGGGTACTCTGTTGTTTACGAATGAGACATGAGAAAATTGAACATCTTCACTAAAAGAGCCCGGAACTAGTTCGTTGCGAGCGTTGGAAACAAAAATGAAAAACGTCCCAACGAAGCGAATATAAAGACCAAAAAGCAATACTTGATAAAAAAATAAACTGAAAGCAAAGACTCGGGGTACTCTGTTGTTTACGAATGAGACATGAGAAAATTGAACATCTTCACTAAAGAGCGCGGAACTAGCTGCTACTATCGTTTTTCCAAATGCTATCAAACTCGACTATGGACTTGGGTGAAAACCGAGTACTCCACTATTTATAGTCGATTGTTCGACTTACGCTATGTTCTCATTGCAATTTCAATCATGTTGTTCGCTCTCATAATTAGGTAAACAAATTAACCCGTTCATACGGCACGATTCGTAATTCATAGTAAAATAATTACTTCTGTCAAAAATTTTGTTGGTTGATTTTTATGGGAATTTATACGAAAATGCATGAAATTCTCACTAATATGAATGGAAGAAATTATTGTTTTCCTCCCAAAGATTTATTATATCATTAATTTTACAATCTTCATTCACGTTTGTGGAAATGTGGACATTTTGAACATATTTTTGTGTTTTTCCATTTTTAAATTCTGCTGGAGAGACACTTGTCAAACATTTTTTCCGCCGATAGAAATATTTTGAAAATATTGCCGTTTTTGTTTGCAGTTTTCTGTAGATATTTTAACTCGTGGACCAAATGCGTACCTCGAATGAGAGAGAAAACAAAATTTACTTTCGTTTCAATGTACATACGCCATTCAACATTGTAGTTTTCATTCATAATTTTCAGCCTTCCCAAAAATTTTTAAAATTTCATCAAATTTTTCTATTTTTAATTTTTAAATGTCATAATTTATTTTTTCGATAAATGCTCTCATTTGTAAGGGATGGGTCATATTTTTTCGTTGTTCTGAGAGTGATTTGATTTTGGAAATTTTGTGTGAAGAATTAGGTAGTTTTTTCATAGTTAAGGGTCAAACAACGAATAGAGAGCGAATCAAGTGCAGTGGAAACACCACATTAGGACGTTTAAAATAAAGTCATGATATGATTACAAATTTTTTCCAAATTATTCATTTGACAACGTTTCACTGACAAAGTTTATATTTACAAATCCATTGTATACACACAAATCAGAGATGGGAAACTGTTTTTATGCAGTGAAATTTGAAAAGGTAAGTTACAGAAAATGCAGAGATGGGAATGCTTATTTGAAATGACTACCTTCTTAGTTTTACCATGGTTTACCCGTAGACTAGTTTGTCGTTTTATCCAGGTGACTCTCATCATGTTTTGCATAGTCAACACGCTGATTAACGCGGTCGACCTACTCCACTTCGAAAACACATTTCATCGTTTTTCAAGAATTTCTCTTGATTACTCCCGCATTTTTCGATGTTAATACTTAATTTTCATTTATCTTTTATTATGAAATAATTTTCAACAGACAAATATCCTATACTTTATGATTTTTTTAACATTTTAGAATTGAGTGACTTCAATATTCTCACTCAAACCCTGAAACCATATAGATGACTCCTGCTGGTCCGAATTTTTTCGAAGATAAACACAGAGCATTTTTTCGTCCATAGTTTCATGAGTCTATGCTTATATATTCAACGGACAATTTATTTCACTATTTCTGATAGTCAACAGATATATGGCCATTTTAGAATTCACCATGGTACAATAAAAAGGTAAGGTAGAGCTCCCAGCTGATTACAATTTTTTTCTAAGTGTGCCCGACTTCTGCCAATTTTGTGTATGTATTTTTATTTTTTGTTTTGAAAAATAAAAACAGAATATTTTCAAAATCAATGATTGGAAGAAACTTAAATTGCGGGGCGCGCATTAATAATATTACCCAGATTTGCCTTGGGATTGAAAGATTGAATACTTAGGATCATATTTTTGAGAGAACATTCAGACATTTCATTCATCTTTCGCGCTATTTGACTCATTTTAGAAATTAACAAAAAATATCAAATAAATGAAAACAACTTTTTGGATATAATTTAGAATATATCTGACAGGAAGCGGGCATAGCCTCAGAGCTGTATTTTTGTAGTTTTACGAAGCTGTTCTACCTCCTTATTGTACCATGTATTCTACCTACTTATTGTACCATGGTGATGCTACTTTCAGGTGATGCTATAACATATCAGGAAATTTTCAATATTCAAGATATAATTATTTTATGCCCCGCCAGAGTTTTTAATATATATTTTTTTTCATCCGAAAAACAACAGAATTTAAAATCTTGGCATAAACACATTTTTTTTATTGGTGCCCTTATTCTGTCAAAATATATACACATTTTGTGAATGTGTTTGTATTGTTTTGAATAAAAAATACAATAATTTGAAATTATTTCAAATTTGTTTGCAAAATAAATAAATAACAGAACATTAAAGAATAAGAAGTGGCACAGTTAGAAAAAATAATTAAACAGCTGGTGGAGCAACCACATTTTACATTTTTATTGTACCGTATTACCCAAATATGCCAGATCTTTATCTTCAAATTTTCCTAATAATAATGTTGTTAAAATTTATATTTTTCAATTGTTCTATTTTCCACTCATAAACCTCAAACACACAGTTCTGTGGTGTTGAAATTGTTCAACTTTTGTAGGAATTTCGGTAACATTCATATAAATTCATGTGTTTCGACCGAGTACATCGAATTTTAGGTAACAATGATAATTGATTGGTACCTGTGACCTACCATGATTTCGTTAAACCCTGCGGTGTACACCTTCTCATACGACTAGCGATGTTCCGCTTTTATCCTAACGTACAAGTCGATCTACATATCCCTGGACTGGAAGACATTTGGACCGGCGCAATTTTCCAACGCCAACTACAATTTGTTGCAATTCTATCAACTCCAGTGTTGTACCTTGTCGTACTTTGGGCAAAAGTTTAAAATAAATATATTTGTTTTTTATTAAAACAATAATACAATCGGCTGGCAGTGGTCTTTTCGGCACATCCAATCGTCCCGCGTCGATTACCACATGTAGTTAAACACTTATACAAGCGTGCAAATTTATTTCCACAACACAGCAACACTGCCTGGAAAGTGGAGGCAACTCTGAACATAGTGTAGAAAAAATACTAGCAGCAAAGAAAAAATTTTTTCACACACTACGGACTGAATTGATTTTTGTCTGCGATTAACTCTGGTGGAAAAAAATCTTATAATGGCAAAGGTGAGTGTATAATTTTATTAAATATTGAAAGAATAGCCAATTTGCAATTAGCTCGTGAAGCAGATGTCCGTTTTTGCCGAAATTAATAAAATTCTTGATTGCAAAAGTTGTGTAAAGAAAAATTCTCGACCACCACGAGCTTAGTTCGCAATGTAGTTGTGAGACCAAAATGTGTGTGTGAGTTTGTTGAAAAGTACGATCTTTGCCTTCCACTAGGGGCAATGTAAAAATAATTGTCGTAAAGTAAAATTTTGTGAAGTTTGCATTTTTATTTGTTCAATAAATCTTTGAGCAAAAAGGTAATCATTTACACGAAAAAGTATGCATCGAAGGGCATGAAGAAGCGTCGTTGCATGGGAGAAGGTGGAAAATTGTGTTCAAGGACACAACGGGCCCCAGCAAAGTGTGTGCGTACGTTTGTGTGCGCCCCTTTTCGTTCTCAGCCGTTTCATTCGTTTGCATTTCACTCGAGAGATTATAATAATATACTACGAATGTTCTGTCTGTCTGGTGGCTCTCTGTCCATGCATCACTCGTGTCAAACAAAAATGATAATTGTTACGGGAGTAGGGCACAAAGAGGTAATGGGGTCGTAAGAGGATTTAAGCCCGTTTCCCCGTTTGTATAGCAGTAGCAAATCTGGTGTGTGTTCTTATTTTTGTTCTTCGTTGGTAGATTACAGACATTGTCGTGTGCATCTGCATGGTATATTCTACATGATGTTTTTACGATTTCAAACAAAAAGTTGTCAATTGCATTGGCCATGACAAGGTAGAATCTGTTTCCCTAGCTGACAAATTAAAAAAAAAATGAACTATTTATTAAAGATATTTAAGGATTTGCCCTACCCACTATATAAAGCGAATTATCGACAGAGCGGACTTCTGAGTAGTGTATCGGTAATTGGTTGGCTTGAGTATTCTATATATTCCACTGGATATGCGGCTTTTACGTTCCGAAAAACATAGGCAGTCGCAGACATAAGACAACCTACGAGAAGTTTTTGTAAACATAAACTCAAGCATGTGCACAAAATCTTACGGCGTTCAACTATGCGCTTCTATGAGCCTTCATTCTCTGGGAATTATGATTATTTCCATTTCAAAATAGGTTTGCTCGAAGATACGGATTGGAATGGAGGAAATTAACCTATGGATCAAAGAAAGGCAATGTGGTAATTACTCTTTGATGATTATATAATTTATGGGGAAATTAGAGTGCAGCCTTTTAGGCATTACGATTGAATATTTAAAATGTTCGTTGGACGTCAAATGTCTCTTTTCATTGTTGAAATTCGTTACCATATATTACACATTATATCCTGCTAAATGATAAATTTCTATACAGCAACAGCTATACAGCTAATGTTCACCTAGAGGCTGATTTTCAAATGGCATCATGTTGCACCTAGATACTGATTTTAAAAACGCATAAAGGCGTTAAATGAACCATATTAACACCATATTTCGCTTTATATATCGAAACATATCTTATTGCTTGAAAAAGAAATTTCGTTTACCAATTTATCATGTATTCAATTCCTTTCCGTTGTTCGAATGGGTAATGTTGGACAATGTAGCCATGTGGCCATATGGAGAAATGGCAGTATAATGTGGTATTCTGGCTACTTATTATTCAGAGTTCACTTATTGTTATAGAATGGACTGGGGTCTAGGACTAGGGTGTTTTTAGAACTTCGGTTCTTTTTCCGAATTTTACATTTATACGATGTTTTACATAGAACTTCCAGAAATATTAAACAAAGTATGCTTTGCGAAATATGGGACATCCGAAGCCTATCGTAATAAAAAAGTTTTGGTATTAAAAAATATTAGGCAGAACATTCTGTGTCGCAATACGATGCTAAATCAGGGTTTAAAGCTAGGTTTCAACAATTTGCAAGCAAAGCTAAAGGAAAGGTTAGTGAATTTGTGGAATTTGAAGGCTAAAAATCCATTTTGATTTTTTTCTAGGGAATAAACTATAAAAAATGCCATACCGTTAATAAAGTATAATAATAGCGAATTTCATTTTTTCCTATCCCTTATAATCTCGAGTTTCAACCTTTGGCTTAGCTATAACATTCCATATATTCGCCAAAGAATTACTTCAGTTTACCTGTACTTTATAATATGAAACCTAGTTCGCATACATATGAAATATCATAAAAATAAAATATCGAATGTTCCCAGCACTAATCTTTCCTAAACCAATCGGTTTGAGTTTAGGACAGGGCAAGTACTACCAATTTGGATGGTAATCGAATAATAGTAAGCAGATAAAAGAAAATTAAAAAATTAATGAAAGTCACTTCCCACCTACATGAAAGGTAACTTCTGACCTACGCTTGCATGGCTATGTGAATTAATTTCAAGAATGAAACAAACTAACATAGACATGCACAAATTCAGAAAGGGTTCCCGATCTACAGAAACGTTATCGCAAATTATAGTGGTGTAGAACATCACATGTTCGGTCCAGCTCGACTAACCGGTTCTAAACCGAGCAATCATGTGATAAATCAAGAATAATAAAACATATAGAGCTGTAAATTGCTGTGGTTGAGATAACTCAGTGAACTGTCATTTTCTCATTTTGCTGTCATTGACATAGCCTCTATGGTTGTACAATTCTAATAATTTTGTAATATTAATCCTTTATATTTTTCTTGCAGAGTCTGTAAAAAGGGGACGGAATAAAAAGTGATATATGCTTTTCAAAAGAGTGTGGAGAACAAAATCTTTCGACAAGATCAGAAGACGTGTCTTTCAGCAAGCCAAAAGTAATCATCAAGCATAAATAACAGCACAGTTTAGTCAACATATTTGCGAGTAGGAATAAGTTTATCCTCCAGTGAAGTGGACTGCGCTAAGCGAGAGGCTTAATTGTTTTGCAAGACCTAAAGCAACGATAACGAACAGAAGAAAACGGGTCTTACTTGATTATCAGTCAATACAATAAATAATTGTTTAATGAACTATAAAGTTATTCAACCAAAAAGTATATTTGCCTTTTAACAACTTTGGTACAACTAATAATTAACATTTTGGCAATTCTTGAAACGTTTTTCATCAAAGGCTATAAAGGCGAAGTTAAATTAAAGAAGTACAAACATCTACCGAAAACTAGTAAAAGTTCTCCCCATAATATAAACACACAGAATATTTTGGCGTTCGACTAATTGTTGCTAAACTTCATCATCTCTTTAACGAAGACCAGCACTAAACTCAGTTTAGACATACAAAAATAAAACGTCTACGATCTCTTGTACCTATCTGATTGAATTATTCTGTGTCACGTTTTAAAGAGGCTTCATATATGGCAACTATAGAGGATTTTGTGCCACATATCTTAAAAAGCACCACCGTCACTCCCAATCCTTCGTCTGTGGCACCAATCATTGCCAACACCGCCGACGCTAATAACTGCACTTTTACCTCTGTCTTGGAATCGTCTTCTATAACGGCTGTTGCTAAAGCGTTGGAGGCATCAAGCTTTATCACCTCCTCTTCTAGTGCTTCCACTGTGGATTCTATCGTTGACAAACTTGTCAATTCGTTGGATTTGAACGACTCTTTAATATCCAACAGCTGTAACCCAATAGCAAAGGATTTGAAGAGCATTTCGTCCCGTTCGTCCTCAGTTGCCGGCAGCTTGTCGTTAGGCGGGCTGGGCGGTGGCAATATGTTTAGTGAGGTCTTCGAAAGTAACGTGGGCTCTGAGCTGGAATCGGGCTCGTTAGAGGACTCGTCAGGCTCCTTAGGTGACGGCGATGTCGACAAGAATTGTAAGATTTGCAGGTACAGTATTTTTTGTTGAGTTTTATAAAGCCTTAAATTAAACGTGTGTATTTGTTTTTGTTATTTCTTCAGTTCCCGTTTGCAATCACCTCGTGTTCTCTCTTGCCTTCATGTCTTTTGCGAGTCTTGCCTGAACAAGTTGTTGAATGAAGACTCGTCGGGAGGAAACCTTTCATCATCATCTTCGACATCTTCGGTTGGGGGCGATCTTGTACCACTTCATAACTGTTCTGGAAAATCGCAAATTAGATGTCCAATATGCAAGCAGATAACTATGGTAAGTAAGATTATGTGTGATATTTTTGGCATTAGAAATTGCTAATTTACTCAATACATTGTTAGCTATGAAAAAATAATGTTCTATTACAAAACATTGTTGTAATGATGATTAAACTTATGCATATGCCTTTGTTTAAATTTATGATTTTTAAAAATTCGTTCTAAGAAATCTTAGTTTTTAGACATTTTCTGTTTTTTAGTCTGAATCGGTGTTTAATAAACACTGTTTATTAGCGATGAAAAAATCATAGCAGGTTACAAAGCATCGAAACATTTTTAAAGCCTCAAACTTTTATTAACTTGTTTCTTGGTCTAAACAAGACAAAGCCTTTAATGTGCTTGCGTAAATGTTCTTCGGCCACACTTTGTCGATATCACGAACCGCTATATAAAGTATATTATACACAATAATGAAAACTCTCTATTGTCCCCAGTGTAATGAAGACTAAAAATATTATTTTTTAGAGAAGACATTATTAAATTTTGCTGAAACAAACAAATCAATTCATGCGGATTATTTACGTATAAAGATCTAGGCCAAATAATATGAAGACATAAAATAAAAGTTAAATTTTATTTGACGGCCCTTTTATACACTAAAATACTTGTGAGTGTTATTACTAAATATGTCTTCTTTTCGATTCCATTATAGGTTGGACCTAATGGCGTGCAATCTTTGACATGTGATTACATACTTACCAATATTTTGGACTTGGCCACTATTGAGTCGGAACAATTGTATTGTACTTCTTGTAAGAGCAAGGAGAATGCAATTTCCCGTTGCAATGATTGTGCCAATTTCTTGTGCAGCGGTTGTGACAACGCTCACAAATATATGCGTTGTTTTGAAAACCACGAAGTTGTCAAGTTGGAGGACTTGCAAAAGACTTCGGACGGCGACAAACCATTGATTATACACAAACCCTTGTACTGCAATGTACATACATCGGAGAATCTCAAGTATTATTGCTTTAATTGTCAAATACCGGTATGCAATGACTGTTTGATTGCCGACCACAAAGGCAGCGAGCATCACTATGATATTATTGCGTTGGCTGAAAAATCGGTGCGCGGTGATGTTGAGAACCTAATAAAGGAGGCCAAATCAAAGGTATGTCTTAGAACCTTTCAAACCAATGCTTTTGTTTCTTCGGATTTATGTGTGTGTTTTCGTTATCGTTTTCACGCAGGTGCAATATTGCGATGACGCAGACGCAAATTTATCTAGCGCTCTCAATGAGCTACAATCTCAACATGATTCGGCACGCGACCTCATCCAAGAAACTTATGAGAATTACAAGAAAATCATTGAGAAATGTCGCGACCAAGCTTTGGTGGAACTGAAAAAAACTGCATTCCGAACGAGTTTTGAAGATAATGGATTTAATGCAGAATATACAGAATACTATGGGCAAGATTGACAACACTTGTAAATTTACCAACCGCGTTCTGGAGCAAGCAAATGCAGCAGAATTTCTGTCGATGAAAAAACTAATTGCAACTCAATTTATCAATATGATTAATACAACTCCAAAATGCGATATAAATTATTCCTTGACATTCGATACTAAACCGGAAAAGTTTGAACAACTAGCTCAAGAAACTTTTGGCAAATTTCGTACCGAGTCGACACCCCCATCGCCAAAGGAAAGCACACCTCCACCTACCTTACCTGGTATGCCACCGAACATGATGAATGGTCGTGTTGGTAGTGGTGGAAACGGTAGCATGAATTGCTCCAACAGCTCACAGAGTCAGTTGACAAGCTCCGTTACAGCTAGCAGCCCCATTTCTTTGCCGACTTCCATGCAAAGTTCATTTGATGGCGATATCTATGCCAATGCCTTGGGCAATGGTTTTATGATGTCCAATGTACTTACACCAGACTCTCCACCACAAGGTCAATCCGCATTATCTCATCATCATCATCAACTGCAACACCAGAATAGCACTTCCTCTCACCACAGCAGTGTTAATGGGTTTAATAGTATGGGATCCATTGGGCCTGGTAATGGAAATAGTCTAAACAACAATTTAGCTAATTCCTCACCCGGCTTCAATGGATCTCTTGGCAACAGTCAGTTGGGCGCAGGACCAGGAGCTTCGCTGATCGGCCCTCAAGGACTCAACGGCTTAAATAACACTGTTCCTTCAAATGGACTAAGTGCCCTAAACAATCCTCTCAACAATAGTCTTTCAGCTGCTCTTGGTGGTCCTTTGGGTGGAAATACTGGAGTCGCCGCAGTCCCACCACCAGGGGGTTACAACAGTATTCTCGAATACAATTTATCACGTCTTGCCAGCCTCACTGAAAATACGCCGGATTCTCTAACGGATGCCCTGGTTGGCTCTTCAAGTGGACCTACTGCCCAATCAGTAGTGCCAGCAGCTAATGCACAGAATCAACCAATTACCCTAGCCGATATTCTCTCTGGCGATCAGCGCGCTTTCAATAATTTGCAAGCTCTTGCGAAACTGGGCTTAAATAACAACGGTAAGTATTGACAAAAATACATTAGATCATCTATGCCATTCCCAGTCAGTAATCCTTATGTCGTGTATCTTCTTTTTTTATTATTTTTTATTTACGAGACTTATATTAAATAAGTTTATAATCAATGTTTAAAGTATGATATTCTTCAGGGGGGCATGCCTTAGCTCTCCTAAATTAAATACATATCTTTATTTTTATATGCATCGATGATGTTAGAATTCTAGTTTGTCTCTTATATATACCTTCCAGTTACAAGGAATTCTGGGGCTAAATCCACATATGATTTAGTTTTTGTTGTTTTTGTTTTACCTCAATTCTTCCTTTGAGGGTGTTTTCATAGTTGAAACAAATCGCAAAAGTGGCAGCTATGTTGCGTATGAATGCTCGGTAGAAAAAATTTAATAGGTTTTGAATTGATTCCATTTACCTATAGTGCTATACCGTAAATAGCTAACGACGTAATTGCCGACAGCTAAACATTGAAATTTTATCTAATTAACCGCAATTGTGGGAACTGTAAATGCAAGAATTAACTAATTTTGCAATAGTTTTCGAAATCATTTAGGCAAAATCATTTTTCGTAGTAAACATTTTTTTACATTCTTGCAGTTCTGAAACAGAACACATGTCTATAATAAAAAAAACAAGGGGGTAAGGCCTTTATAACTAGTTTCCCATTTTTTAACATTTTGTATTATTTTATTTAATTTAATTTTTATTTTAATCCTTTCTTTCTTTCGTTCTTTTTTATTTTCTATTTTTTAACCATACAAAAACCAATATACCCCACCAACATCCATGATCCACCACCACCATCACTACCGTTCCAAATACTTGCTGTCGTTATAAAAACGTACAATTTCAACATATTTTCTTCTACACGTTTGCACTAATATCGTGTGGCGGATAAATACTTATTTCCCACCAAAATGCCACTGGCTAACAATATACTACATACAAACTTATTGTACACAACAATTATATTGTGATAAATATAAAACGTATAACTGATTGTTTGTTAATGTTGTTGCTGATGGCACGCGTGTTAATCAATAATTGCGATTTTGTTATGAATAAATGAATATTGTTGTTGGCATATTACAAGTAGATTTTCACACAGACATGACAAGCAATCAGCTATTAACGAGTGGACCCTCACCAACTGGATTTGATTGTTTATTACCAGATTACTGCCTACCCACAGCACCGTCGCCAAGTTTACCAAATTTGCCTCCATTGTGTCCAGGCGCTGGGGCTGGTGGTTCCGTCGATGATATGAGCATAACTAGCTTCCATGCCCCGCAACAACCTCAACCAACGGCTACAAGTATAATAACGGGTCGCAACAAGGCAACCCCAATGCAGATACGTTGCAAGTTTGGCTCATTGGGAACGTCCAAAGGACAATTTAATTCTCCACACGGTTTTTGCTTGGGCGTTGATGAGGAAATTATTGTAGCCGATACCAACAATCATCGCATCGAGATCTTTGATAAATCTGGCAATTTGAAGTTTTACTTCGGAGTGCCCGGTAAAGAGGAGGGGCAGTTATGGTATCCCCGAAAAGTTGCTGTTATGCATACTAACGGCAAATTTGTGGTGTGCGACCGTGGCAATGAGCGATCTCGGATGCAGATATTCTCGAAAAGTGGTCATTTCATGAGGAAAATTGCCATAAGGTATGTCGTTTGCACAGTTAACAAATTATGCACATGCAAATATGTTTTGGTTTTTCCCCATTAGATACATCGATATTGTTGCCGGTCTGGCCGTCACTTCTAAAGGCCACATTGTCGCCGTTGACAGTGTTTCCCCCACGGTGTTCGTAATTTCGGAGGATGGAGAATTGGTACGCTGGTTTGATTGTAGCGATTATATGCGCGAACCTTCAGATATCGCAATCAGAGGTAATTATATCTGCCCATTCATTTAGGAATCTACAGCAAGACGGAATTCTAATCGTGTACATTTTGTTCCAGACAATGACTTTTACGTGTGTGACTTCAAGGGCCATTGTGTTGCGGTCTTCCATGAAGATGGTACATTCCAGTATCGTATAGGCAATGAAAAAGTTACCTGTTTTCCGAACGGAATTGATATTTCTAATGCTGGCGATATTTTGATTGGCGATTCTCATGGAAATCGATTCCATGTTGCTTGTTATTCACGTGATGGTGTTCTTCAGTCAGAATTCGAGTGTCCACATGTTAAGGTAATTACAAAATTATATATCTATATAACAATACAAACAATATTTTATCGTGTACAAAAGGTTTTTTTCATTTTGATTAACATCATTTAATTGACTCGATTTCTTGAGAACTGAAATTGCAGGCGGGTTACAATGAAGTGTAGTACCGAATTATGTGGCGGCGAAACTGAATAGATGATGTCGAAATAATTTAACGCGGTCACACCAAACTTAAAGGATAATTACTTTTTTAAAATCCCTAAAAAACACGAAAAAATTAAAATTGCAAAAATTATAAAATCGGGAAAAAATCGAGAACATTTTTTTCAATGGAAACGAATTTCAAAATAGTAGTACATTCTATTGACAAACTTCGTAACGACCTTGAAACATTTGCTGTAGAAAATCAGCGAACAAGTTGAAGTTTTTTTCTTTTTTCCTTTTGTTTTTCTTCTTTTGTCAATTTTATATAATACACGATTTTTTTTTTTCAATTTGGCTTATCATGTTGAATACAATGTGAACAAAACAAAGAATTATTTTCACCATATAAAATAAAGTTATGTTAGTTACTATGCTTATAACTCAAGAACGGCTTGCCGGATTTTAACAAATTCGTATGAAATGAAAATATGCCATTAAAAATGTGATTGAAAACAATTTTTTGGCTTGAAATTTTTTCTATTTGACATACTATATTGAAGTGTACATTTTTTATTGTTTTGAATTGTGAATAAATAAAAAAATGGCATCTAGCTTTAAACTCCAGTACCTACATCGTGCTTCAGCTGGAAGAGGCGAACACATTTAAACAAACAAAAGTGACCGACAAAGCGTTATGGGGCTCATTTCAAAACGTAGACCTACTTCTCTCATATGACAATAATCCGTCCAATGAGAACTCAAAATGCAAAATTCATTAGGACTGAACTGGACATTTAGTAAGAAAAGGATTTCTATCTCTCCAGAAATTCATCCTAAACTTTCAAGATACCTTAACTCGCATTTTCAGGTCATGATATGGGTCATAACCCCCGAACTCGTTTTCTTGCACGTTTCACATTTTAACCATATTTTTCATACTAATTTCCGAAAATGTTGGCAATTTGAGAAGAAACCATCCTTACAAAATTTTTTAACGTTTTGTACAACCATCATATGATTTAAGTTATTTTCGGACTCTTGAAGAATTTTTTTCTATTTTTTGATCCCTTATTTGACAACTTGGTTTCTCAGGGGGTAGAAAACCTCTTCGCATACAATATGACATAAACTCCGCAACTCATTCAGTTGGAAATTGTGGCAGAAACATGAAAAAATTGCGAATATTTGAAAGTAGCACGGGACCGAACATTTGTTTAATCATCGTTGAATTATTCTATGATGAAATATGAACTTCAGGGGTCTCCTACGCATAAGACAGAAAAATGAATTCCCATCTTACGGTAATGGGTGTAAAAGAGTAATTATCTTTGACTATTCTGAAATCATTTTGCCTTAATTATGAGGTGGACAAAACTAATTACCACGCAGTACGGTGTTCTAAACATTGGAAAAAATAAATTCCAAATTACAGCTCATTTGAATGAAAAATGTTGCTAAGCTCTTTGCAATAAAAAACATTGAGCTGTGTTTTGACATAGGGCTATTATATGTGTTCTATATCATATAGGCTTTTAACACTCAAAGCCTATGGCTGAAAAATAAGGTCAGGCTATTCAAAATATCTAAAACCGACGGTTTTATAATTTTTGCATTGAATATTTATTTCTATTTAGAAATTACTATGGAGTCATTATTTATAATAAAAATTGTGTCAGCTAGTAGAATATATATAAGAGTACTACCTTAATATAGTGTACAACCTAAGATATACAATGGAAGATCAGAACGCGAAAACTGTTCCGTTACGAAGATATAAGCAGTGTGTGTTTTTTAATCACATATTTTTAACATATTTTGGCATATTTAAAAAAATGGCTACAGACCTTCTTTTCATTATACCGATCGACTCGTTCTCTGGGGCCCGAATAGACGGTTGTTATTGAATTTTCATCGGAAACATACAAATGATAAAAATCAGGAATACCTGGATTCACATTTACGATGACGTGGGATATTTGAAGTCAAACGATATAATTTTTAAATTTTTTGTAATTCTATTGAATGAAAGCAGAAAATGTCGGAAATATTATGGCCTTCAAACGGCCAATGAAACTGCGGTATTTTGGCCCGTTCCCGGCGAAGCGCTTGCTTGAGGTGATCGACAATTTTGTATTTTTTAGTGCCAACCTGCTTTTCAAAATACTCTAGACCCAATTGTACAACGGATTGGTATCCGGAGATTTTGGTGGCCATTGTGCGCTGGAAATGAAGCGAGGAACCTCATTTTGTAACCATTCTTGGGTGGCGCGTGTGGAGTGCGATGGTGCTGAGTCCTGTTGGAATGTCCAAGGTCTGCGGCTAAAATGTTTGCGTGCCCAAGGCTTTAATACAGCCTCCAGAGTATTTTCGCGATAATATTCGGCATTTATTCTAATGTCACGGTCGATTAATACGAGCGGAGAGCGACCATCATCTATTATGGCGGCTCACACCATCACCATGGCCGGCGCTTGAGTTCTGATGGCCAACGGAAGTTGCACATTTTCAGCTGACCTCTTTGGTCTCATTGACCTCATTTTGTTTGTCTACAAACTAATGTTTTCTCATCGGAGAAAACCAAATTCGGCAGTTCACCACTTTCGGTCAAGTGAAGCAAAACTTTGGCTCTTTTAAGTCTATTTTATTTCTGTTGCGGTGTAAGTTCTTGCACTTCTTGGAATTTCAATGGCTTAATACCGATCTTATTTTTCAAAATTTACCGAATGGAATATTGCGATATGTTCAGCTCACAAGCCATTTTTCGGACACTGCGACGCGGGTTATGCTATGTCAAGTTGCTTCTTTACTTTTCGAACCATTTCTGCTGATGTTGCTGTTTTCTTCCGTCCACTTCCTTGACGTCGGGCTACGCTATCACATTTCCACCCAAATATAAAGAAATCACACTATCACGCTTGAATTCCATCACGAATAACTTTTTTTCTGGAGAATTTTTACCAAAAGGCTTATGTACGCTTGTAAACAATATATTGAACTGTCACAGGAATAATTTCAACAGCAAATGACAGCAGTCTGAAGTTGGTTGCAGCTTTTTCATCTCACCCTGTGTAGCTGAGTGCTACCGGACGCGTCCACATGTTACGAATTAAATAAGCAGTATCGGGCACCTCAGCGGTTTCCGGGGAGAGTCTGGGATTTAATTCCTGAGTGCCCATGATCCCAGGAATCGATGAGGCGAAGCCACTGGCGCCGCCTAACTAACCAGTGAACAGAATGGTCCACCGCAAACCGAATCCCAAACGCTGGGGTGTGCCCTTCAGTGTTCCAAGGTTTGCAGTCAGGGTACCCACTATTTTTAATTAGAATTCCATCAAAAGCCAAAAAGCAAAAGACTATTTAGATCGCTCTACATCTGGCCCAAAATGACTTTTTTGGGGAACACCAGATTGAAAGACATTGATCGATTTAGATTGACAAGTTTCAAATATATCTTTCAGGGATCAAAAGGGTGAGCTCCATAAAACCCGAGTTCTATTGAAGCTATGTCTTAAAATCTTTTACGAAAAATTAATTCTCGAATAACTTTGGAATGACACTCAAATTGGGTAAATCCTCTATAATTGAAAACATGCTAAGCTATCATATTTTTAGGGACTCCATTCAAATGAAAATTAATACATGTAGGGGAATAATTATACAAAAGTGTTTAAAGGCCTGACCGGGAAAACCATCCGGACCCGAACTTTTTTTAATGCTTTTCAACCACGCAAACTAAAAACTAATTCAGGGTTTTCATTGTCGAAATATGTATTACATATTTTCAACTTGAAATACACATGGTTTAGAGAATGTTATCCCTTTGAACTAGATTTAAACTGATGTACTGATTTTGCAGAACAATTGATAGTTGTTAATATTCGCGGTATTAATTTTCTTTTAAACGGATGAATATTTGATATTTTGGACATACAAATCTGTTCAGTATTTCTTTTTATTTTAATATATTCACTTGTTTATCGCATCTGCCATATAGGTGTATGACAATAACAAATCTGCCGGAACAGACTATTTGCAGGTGCATTGATGTTATATTAAGGTCGCAGAAGATGTTTTATGTACCAAGGTCCAGCTATAATAGATCGAAATCGTCTTTACTTGTGTTAGAGGCATTAGGCGTGATGTAGCATTAGAGAGATGTATGCAAAATCTTAAGTAAATATATACCCAAACGAAATTAAAACACGTAGCTTCAATTTGTCGACTTAAAAATAAAAAAAAAAACAAAAGTTTCAGGTCTGGATATGGTACGTTCTTGAGTCTCGTATGCCTTATAATGATAATCTAGACAAAGTGAGCATAAACTTCAGCCAAGTTCTTTTCGTTAACTTATTCAAAAATCATTTCACGCATATGAGATAACTCAGTCAAAACAAGTACTTATCCCACAACCATGATGATGAAGCTTGGAAATGTACCATATATTGGTTTCCTCTGGTGCCTCTTTCTCCTGAAAATGTAATGTTGAAAATGTAAATAAAATATATGCATCTAAATTAAAAATTAAAACCTTGCACATCGTAATATGTATAATTCATATTTGGTAAAATGTACAGGGTGAGATAAAAAAACTGCAACAAAGTCAAACGCCATCATTTTTACATTTTTTTTAATTTAATTGAATAAAAGCAAAACATGTCGGAAATAGCATCAAATTTTAGAATAAGTTTAGATTTGTTCGAATTGGTCACCTTTGGCACGAATTATGGCGATCATTTTGTTTGTTTAAAAACTGCTGGACAGCGAAAGTTTTCTCATCGGAGAAAACCAAATTCGGCAGTTCACCACTTTCGGCCAAGCGAAACAACTCTTTAGCTCTTTTGAGTCTATTTTATTTCATTTGCGGTGTAAGTTCTTGCACTTCTTTTGTGAATTTCAATGGCTTTACCCCGAGCTCATTTTTTAATATTTGCCGAATGGAATATTGCGATATGTTCAGCTCACGAGCCATTTTTCGGCCACTGCGACGCGGGTTTCGATCGAGTCGCTTTCGTACTTTTGTATCAGTATCACGGTAACGAGCGATGGTACGCGTCACATAAGATTTATGCACATTTAACGAAAGTTTTCTCATCGGAGAAAACCAAAATCGGCAGTTCACCACTTTCGGCCAAGCGAAGCAACTCATTAACTCTTTTGAGTCTATTTTCTTTCATTTGCCGTGTAAGTTCTTGCACTTCTTTTGTGAATTTCAATGGCTTTACCCCGAGCTCATTTTTTTGCCGAATGGAATATTGCGATATGTTCAGCTCACGAGCCATTTTTCGGCCACTGAGACGCGGGTTTCGATCAAGTCGAGCGATGCTACGTGTCACATAAGATTTATTCACATTTAAATGCTGAAATGCTCTAAAGATAACCACTTGTGGTTTTCCAGCCCAAAATAAAGAAATCACACTATCACGCTTGAATTCCAATACGAATAACTTTTTTTCTGGAAAATTCTCACCAAAATGCTTTTGTACGCTTGTAAACAATATAATGAACTCTCACTGGAATAATTTTAACAGCTGTCGGACGAGTGGCTTAGAAATGACAGCAGTCTGAAGTTGATTGGTTTTTTCATCTCACCCTGTATTTGTGATATTATTGTTAGATTCCATAACAGCTTGCCAAGTTAAAGATCGATCCGTATTTTTATAAGTTATTACAGATATAACAAATTTTATATATTGTCCCCAATAAAGCAAACGTATGGACGTCATCGCCTCAAACCCATTGTCATAACATGCAATGGCCAACAAATGTGGATGTTGAAATTTTATCAACCTACTTCATTTCGTCCGGAAGTAAGAGTGATTTTCACAGACGGGTGGACATCGAATTTTGTGCCGACCAAGAATATATGTGGTTGTGGTCTCTAAAGTTTATGTCCATCTACGGCTGTTTCTTCAAAATTAGGAATTTGTGATATTAATGGTGTGAACCACTGAACCGAACCAACCCAAACCGACAAGTGGTTCACAATGCCAAGATCTTCCCCAAAGCTTATGCAGTTGTAAGTCTATTAAAAGTCCACTTTCCGATGTTATACCTTACATAATTTTTAGTCATTTTTTCAAAACATCTGCATTCTCTGGAGAAGAAAAAAATACTTTTTACAATTCCGTCGTTTAATTATATAGGAATAATCAGGGATTATTCCGTGGTTGTTTTAGTTTTTCCTAAAACATGATTCATTCATTAGTGAAATAGTGATCTAAACACATTCTAGTCAACTAAGAGGAAAGGATGATGGATAGGCATAATGTGATTTGTACTATTTTTCTTGTTCAGTGTTCTAACCTTCAGCTCATTATTGTTTTGTTTTTCATAGGTATCACGTTGCTGTGGCCTAAAAATAACTTCTGAAGGATATGTTGTGACACTCGCTAAAAATAATCATCATGTTTTGGTGCTTAACACCCTGTACGTTCAGTGATTGCAAAAAAAGAAAACTCTCAATACGAGATCTGATTTGTTAAACTTTGGAAAAACTGCAACTGTAAGTAGACCACACCAGCAGCATCAACATCAAAATCCGCAGTCGCAGTCGCAGACGCAACCACAACATCATCATCATCAACAGCAACAGCAGTTGCGTTCCGTTTTTCCTACAATGCATGGCAATCATGGCATTAGTAACACATCATCAGCGGTCACAGTCCCAACGGATCCGAAAGTACCAACAACAGCAGCATCAGTATCAACAAACGCAGCACTAAATTTCAATATGCCTTTAATTAGCAAGCATCAGCTTTATAAAATTAATACTGAAAATAGTGATAATGGTGAACAAAAAAAATTACAACTTATAGATTATGATGAAATTTAAGGCAATAATATTTTTGTATTATTTTCATTTTCATGAAAACCAACAAAGAAAGAATAACTAAAACAAAATTACACCCACATAAAAATATTTAATGATAAAACAACGCCTCCAAAGATACGACGAAATTCTGAATTTACGCCGCCAAAAGCCAAAAAGAATCGTAAAATCAATATAATTTATTTTTTTTACACCTCTTCGTACCACTTACTACTACTATTACTACTACTTCTAATATTTTATTATAAATTATTATATTCTACATCGTTTTACACTTTACAATTTTTAATGTAGTTAAACAAACAAACAAACAAATTAAAACAAAACAAAAGGCCGTTTTTATATACAAAACAAATATTTTAGCTTATATGAGAGATTTTTTAAATATATATGTAATATTTTAAATAGTTTCCTTCCTTTTTCTACAACACTTAAGAGACTTTCTAATGAGGAGGAGTGAAAAGGCTAATTTTTCTGAGTATACATAAAGATTTATTTTTGTATACATAGAAAATTGCCCTTTTGAACATGAAAAACATGAATTTATAACTCCCAATGAATTAATGAAGGAAAACATGTCTGATTTAAAAAAAGTTGATTCTTTTCGAAACAAATCTCAAATCCACATACATACAAATATAATATTTTGATCTCTTTCTATTCAATTTTATGTTTTTTAATTGCCAAAAACCAAACATGAATCATAATTACAATGTAGAAAAATGAATGAAATTTTGAAAAGTAAATAACATATTTTTATTTCACCTTTGCAAAAAAAAAAAAAAAAAAAACCAAAACGGAAATAGAAAACAAGTTGCAATGGTTTACAAAAAAAAAAACTAATCACAATTTATACAAAAGAACTATTACAACCATAACAACTTAAATGAATATTGTTACATAAATTACATTATTTTTATTATTTTTGTTACGTTTTCTTTTTATTTTAAATCAACTACAAAACAATAAAATGTATTTACAAAACGTCGATGGGAGCATAAGTATATAAGGCATACTTTTGTTTCCATTGAAATTGTATTTCACGTTTTTATTTACAAACAAAACAAAAAGAAAAGAAAAAACATATTCCTTTTTACATACAATTAAATTAATTTCCCCACGTTATTTTTTTTTAATAAGGCTGGTTTTCCAAGACATTATTTTACATAATTTACTCAATCACCTTTGTGTGTTATATATATATATATATCTATAAATATATTTTTTTTAATAACATTGTTAACTCTTTTAAATTATTAATTAATTACATATACAAACTATTTACATTTACAAGAACAAAAACAAATATGTTTTAGTATATATGTTATATTAAATACACTGTAACACGAAACAAATTTTAAACTTGAAACAAAAGAAAAATAATCCTATAATTTTTATTATAAAATGTTTAATTTAATTTTGATTTAACTTTGTGTTTCAAATACTTTCTTGTCATTTTTTGTATTTAATTTTATTTTACTTTTTATATTTATTTTTTTGTTTTCTTTTTTATTAGAGAGAAAAAATATATGATTTTCAAATGTATTTTTTATATATTGTTTTCAAGATTTCTAGCTGTTCTTATGTAAAACATAAAAGTTAAAAAACGAAGAAAGATAACAAAAAAGATTGGAATAAGAAAAAAAAAAACAAAAAAAAAAAAAAAAAGAAAAAGAAATTATCATATATTGTGCGTGAGGCTGTAGTTTTAATTGAAAAAAAAAAAAAAGAAAAACAATACCAATCATACCTTTTTACTACTATATAAGCATTAACAACGATTACAAGAATTACCCAAAAGCAATCCTTTATAAAATACATATTTAATTTTAAGTAGTACCAAATGTAGAGTTTCTCTTCGAAAACACTCACACATCAGACTTATTCAAATTTCAAACCGTCATTGACAAAAACCAAACTGTATAAGATATTTTTGTAAACATATTTTTTAAGTATACACACATATGTATTTTGTTGTCGTTTTTCAGTGCAAAAACAGTCCCACAAGAAAGTGTTTAGTCTCTCTCCGCAAAAGGCAATTTGAATACACATACATATGTAATGTTTGGCTGTTTAGAGGATTTAGCGTTCTTTTATAACTTTATTTTCTTAATGTAACATCGTTTTTCGTTCGTTCGTTTTTTTTTCTCTTTTATTTTTTGATCGAAAGTCCGGATGAGCCTGTGTGCTCTCGTCCCGATTTCCGCTAATTTCGTCTTGTTTGTGTTTTCCTTAAGAGCATTTTTCTAGCTATAATAACACATTTATTGTATACAAAAATTGAATTGATGCAATTTTTTTGTCGAGTTTAATTAGAAAGTATATACATACAATACGTTTTACATGCTCATTATTTTATAAACAAATATTTTTTTGTTTTAAAGTAACGAAATATATTGCAAAAAAAAAAAAAAAGATAATACCCACAAAAAAATTAAAAAAAAAAAAACAAATGTAATTCCATAAGCTTTACTTTTTATTGAAATATTTTTTGTTGTAAGTTTTTTAAATCTATTTACAAGGTTTTGTTAAACAAAACTTAAAAAGTCTACAAAAGATTATTTTTCTTTTTTTTAATTAAAGTTTTTTTTAATTATTATTACTTTTATACACAACGTATACACACACAGACATATGTAGGCATAGTAGGTGTTACAACATGTTGTGGAACTAGTTATAGGGCTATGTTTCCTGCATCATAGAGGTTTTACAACTGATTGCCAACACATCCCCATTTCAACGCATATACAAACAACTGACATTTGATATTATTAATAGAGTGTTTTAGATTAGAAAATGAATTTATGTTGTATTTTTTCTTGTTATAGTTTATTTCCAATAATCCGCTTAAATTAATGATATTAAAAAAAGAATATAATTGTTTATGTCAGTTATTTTATTTTTTTTTTTTTTTTTGTATTTGTAACTAAGACGCCCTCTTAGCGTTTTCCTTACATTTTAACTTTAAGTCAAGACGTACAGTAGTGCAGAAAGACTAAATACATTTTCGCTATATTATAATTGTTTAAAAAAAAACACGCAGGTTGTATTAAATTAAAACCAAATGCATTTTACGAAGTACTCCAATATTTTTTATTATTATTTTATAAGTATTTGTTTACAATATTTTAGTAGAGAAAACCTTCAAATTGCCTTTTTTAGACTTTTGTTTTCAAAAATATGTCGTCTACCAAATTATTTTAATTGGCCATATAAATGTTTTATAACAACTATGTATTTTTATACATACACTCCATTAATACATGATATGATGCAACACTAGTCATATACATATGTCTATTAACATGTGTATATTTTTAAACTATATAATTTTATTGACCCACTACTATTGTTTACCTCTATCTTTTTATTAATAAATCTACACTACTGTACGCTTCTGTTTTACACGCTTAAAAAATTAACTAGATAAAGATAGAGAGAGAAAGAGAGAATATGTTGTTATTGTTAACGTTTTCCACCTTCTTTTATGTTTCTTATTTAATTTAATTTTATTTTAATTTTATTTCTTTAGTTTTTTTTTATTATTATTATCTTCGAATTATTAATTCAAAGCATTATTTTAATTATTATTTTTGTGATTTTTAAACTATACACCTATAAATTTTCAATAAAACTTAATTAAAGCGTTTTTATCTATATATTTATATGTGTATGTATATGGTTTTTGAAAGTGAAAAAGAAAAAAAAAACTGCACAGAAATCAACTACTAAAAATATTTCAGCAATAATATAGAAAAATATTTCAGCAACGTTATTCCGGTTCCGGTAAAATGCACGATGCGATTCAGAAACGGTTTGAACAACTAAAAAATAGTATAATTCAAAATCTACTTGGTGGTGAAAAAGAAATATTTTTATTGCATTCGCACTTTTCCGATTTCGTACTTTCAAAATGGAAATCGCATTGTTTTTGTTTTTTCACGCGGAGTATTCGGGTACACAAATATTTTTAGTTCGACGGCAAATGAATTGAAAACGTTCAACTGAAGTATGTTAATTTTGTTCATAATTTGGTTTGTTTATCCCTTTACACGAATAAGCAAATCAACAATCTCGGTACAATAACATGAATGGTAGTGATTCTGTTTTTTTAATTTTCTTTTTAATAAAAATAGGGCTCAATTTGTAAAACGATAAAGTAATTTCAACACGTACACACACATATAAAGGTAATACTAATCTCCCCTTGACTTGCTTATGAAGAAATGTGAGGTTAGAAAAGTATATGTATTTCACGAATCCAAAGTTTTTTTATGTTGTATTGTATTTAACATATTTTAAATTAATATAAATAAATTTACCTACATTTTACATATATTTTATGTATAAAACAAATATATACATATATGTATGAGAAATATACATATGTTTATAAACGACCTTTAAATGTACATCATGTATATGGGTAAAACAAAATGAAATAACAATCTAGTATATGTCAATTTTTGATGATATTTACGCCTTATGAAAATTATTAAAACATATATATTAAATAAAATAAAAAAACAAAAGATAAACAAACAAACCAAATTCCCCCCAATATTTGCAATAACGTTTTAGGAACACTTATACAAATCCAGTTATAAACCATTAATGTAATATTAGTAATGATTAAGAATGATTTAAGCTAAACACTTTTATTTTTTATATTCAGCTAAAAATTGAACATGAAACGAAATATGAAAATCAAAAACCACATTGGTAAATGCATTCACAACAAGAACCATAAAGGATAATATATATATATGTATGAGTGATGAATTTTCAATTAATAAATAGCAGGCCGAATCAAAAATAAAATGAAACAAACAACATCCTAATACATCAAACATTCAGAATTAAAGTTTTAAAACAACACAATAGTTGACGAAGTCGTTAAAATAATCGTAATGTTCATAAAACCAATTGATAAATAAATATATACAAAAAAAAAAAAAAAAAAAAACAATTTCAAATTTAAAAAAAAAAACAACAAAAAATGCGTATATAAAGACACCAACAACACACGTACGTATTTTGTATTTATATGGCGCCTAAAATGTTTGAATATAAATTGTATTCTCTATCTCTATTCTCTTAGCATATACATATATACAAATGTAAACTTAATTATAACAACACAGCAAATTGCTTTACCTGGTGGTGTATAAGTTCCTCAAATACAAAATTTTATAATTAATTTGTTATGATTTGAATTTATTTTTCACTGTTGTGTTCGAACTGTTTTTTTTAATTTTATTTGGGCTCGAAACCTAATATTTTATCTAATTTGTATTTATTTACTTTCTTATTTCAATAAAGTTTTTATTCAAATGTATACACAATATGATTTTCTTTGTTTTGTTTACCATTACCATTTTAACCCTGTGCAAGACGCAAAGAAATGACTAAAATTTTATTGAAGTTACCATATTCCACATACGAATGTTGTGTACATAAATGTAACACAGTATGATTAAAAAGGAATAATGTATTCCCAAAGGAATATATTCTTTCCAGATTTTATTCTTTAAAGCTTGTAATGCATTGCACAGGGTAATTAAACGATTTTCGCACTACTGGACGGTAGAGAAACCATTTCTCACTCTTTTGTCATCAATGGCTTAAATGATCGATAGTGACATGTTTCACTTTGTGTTTCAAAAACTAACCAATTAACGGAAGGGATATGTCAAAGGATAAAAGTAAACAACATATCAAACATAAAACAGCGAATATTTTTTAGTCATGTCATACTATGTTTCTCTTTATGTTGTGTTTCATTCAACAAAAAAACAAAAAAAAAAAAAAGAAGAAATCCAGTAATAATAAAAACTGTAGCAGTGCCATTAAAGACAACTACTCATATAATTAATTCGACATTCCTAAGAAACAAAAAACAAACTAAATATACATTTTATATAACATAAACTACACCCATGGAAATGTGACAGTTTATTTTTTTAAATCATTTAACGTTAAGAGGACAAACAAAAACAATAACAATAATAATAATTTTAAACTTACACTACTCGAAATCATGAAGTATTGTAAATCTGAAACAACAGCAACAAATGAAAGAACAACCAAACCACATTCTTCCTATATTTTCTCAGTGTCCACAATATACATACATTCATAAATACTTAATAAATAATAATAAATTATAATTAGTTATATGAATGCGGTACGTATGTAGTGTAGTCTGCAAACGGAAACATGTATAACTATATTGTGTTTTGTTTCCTCTCTACATATAAAAAAATAAAATAAAATAATTTCTGCAACATGAAATGAAAAGTAAAAATCACAAACGTTGGACAGGCTCTAATCTTGTTCGGCTTCGGTATGCTATCCCTAACATATAGCTCAGTGAATTTGACGAGAAAAAAAAAATAATTAGCTGTACTCTCTGAAAACAATTCTAAGCTGGGTTAATTCTGGGTATATATGTATACTTAAAGTCAAATATCGAAGACGACCTACATTCAAGCCTACCTGACAAACTTTATAGGTTGTTACTATATGTATATTTCAAAAAAAAGACAAAATCTTGTATCGAAACTATTTTTTTGTTTATATAGAATTTTAATATTATCCATAAGTAAAGGCAAACAAAAAATGCAATTCTTGATAGATGGGTCTGGTGTCAGAAAATATCTATATCAATGCCCGTTAATTCAATATTAGATATGGGAGAACGCAACGAACAACAAGCAAGAGACGACAACCATTGTCTATTAGCCTGCTATATGTATATTGTTCGATACAGATCTTGGCCGCTATCGTCATATAACACAAATAAAAAGTGATGCTGTCCGTTTTCTTTGACAATGTGTACAAAACATCCTAAAAAATATCGTAACTAGATCTATATTTTTGTTTGTTTTTTCTAAGCCACAAAAAAAAAAAAAAAATAAAAAAAATGAGGCCTGTCTATTTCTTATATAATGATGCTAAACAAAAGAAGGAAAACAAAAACAAGAAACAATTTACAATAGCATATACGACCTAATACATATTTATTAGTATATATATACATAGATAATAATTAGAATAAAATAATATTATCTACATTTGTTCCAAGACAAAAAAAAAAAACGACAACAAGAAAACCCAAAGACCAATATTAAATGTATTTTATTTATTTTCACAATGAATGAAAAATTGTAATAATCAAAAATATACACATACATAAAAATGATAACACATACATAAACAATTAATAACATATTTAATGAGGTGTAAGAAAAATATCCTTATCCACGAAAATATGCAATTTACG